TCTCAAGCATACGGTGTGATTCTTGGAATGTACTGCACAGGGCTGKGAGTTTGGACCCGATGATCCTGATAGGTCCCTGCTGACTCCACATATTCTACCAGAGGGTGATGACTGTCCTGTGTTTGGATATCTGATCTGAAAATTAGTCACAGAAAGTCACCCTAACTCCCTGTTAATTAAGGCAATTATAAAAACAGATACTAATATTTTTCTCAGAAGTGTGGTAAAGCTTAATTGATTRAAGTTTTAATGATTTGAGAATTTTACTATGAAGATACATTAGTTCAATGTCTTACACGATCATTTCTCCAACATTTACAGGTAAAAGATAAAAGTTGAAAACACAACAGTCATGGTCTGTAAGTTGTTAGCTTTTGCCATAAAGAAAGTATATGTATTTCATTGCACGAATAAGAGTGAGATGGAGATATGATTATTATCAATATTAAGTTGCTTAAGATGAAAAGCTGAGTGGCTTACAGGGTAGAGGCCTGGGATTTCATCTCAGAAACACAAGCAGGGATTTAATTTGCAATTCACTGTTGAGACGTTAGCTGCATAATAGCTTGCTCTAATCTGATGATAAGGGAAAATTATTTACTAGCTGTTCAAAGGGATACCTGCCTTTGAYAGGACAGTACTTTTCACATATATACATTACATTTTGTTGTTCTCCAAGTTTGAGCCAATCTCAAGAAASAGTATTTGGCAAGCTTTAGTCCCAAGGTACATCTAAATACCTGTATTATTTGCAAGCTCTAACTATCTTCCTGTGACTTTCAATGCTTAAACTGAAGAATGTGGAATAAGACACTGATATTTGAAGCCACCTGCCTTGAAAATATGTAACTTGGGAAGTAAGTAAAGAAGGGATTCACATAGTGAATGGATGTCAAGGATACTGGATGAGCAATAACAGTATTGATAACAATGAATTGTTATTACAATCTAAAGTTTGCACTCCTATGCTGTTGTTACTATYTAAGTTACCAAACTGGAAAGGAATAGGACACTGAAGAATGGGTGGACTCAAAAATGCAGATTTACTTGTACTGAAACACTRATGATATTTCACAAAACTTGAAGCCTATGCATTGGTGATACACATGAAGGAAAAATCTTCCTAATTTTACTTCTCAGGCACCCAGACAAGGGGGTGCAAGTTTGCATGTCTTCTTTTACTCATAGATAGAGCTAAGTATCTATGCCAATCTTTTCCCAACAAGAGAGGAAAGAAAACATTGTACCTTCAGCTCAATAGACTGATGGTAAGAATTTCACCTAAGTTAAAGTAAAATCACAGCTCCTTTGCTCCCTTCCTTTGGAATTCGCAAGAATACTCACTCTGACAATCTAAGTATGGATGATGGGTTAGGATTTATTCTACCTTTTGTTYTAAAGGTGAAATGATTCTCCTTTGCATGGAATAATTTAATATCAGCTGTTCCAATTAAGAGAAATAACATCACGACCTAGCAAAATCTGAGTGTCATTCTTCCACACTGAGGAACAGAAAATTCTGTCTTTGCACATAAATATTTAATATGAAATACTTTAAACACGTGATTGTTTCCTCCTTATATGAGCAATGTCTTATACGTTGAATAGTCAAAAATATTTGTATATCCTGCTAAGGAATGCAGTTTTGTGATTAAGGGATTGAATTTGGTTTTATGAGGCTTGTTTCAACTGTCAGGTCCTGCATAGAAATATTTGAGTAAGGGCCTCTGCACATGACAATTCTGTTTCAATCTGTCTTGCAAACTTAAGTCTTCACTTCCAGAAATTAGGGAGAATAGAATAATTCTGTGTGCATGCATTATCATTTATCTGCACTCAAGAGTCGTTTTATGTGGAGTAAAAACAGATGCCTRTGTAACAACACAGCTGCAGTTTCAATGACAACTTTTTTCAACCTTGGAGAAATCTTCCTATCCAGGTTCTCACCTGTTACAGTTTTGTTTATTTGATCTATAAGCTCTGCAGAGCAAAAAACTTCTCTTGTTACATGTGAAGTATTCTGCATGAAACTGCACATTACTTGATCCTGACCATTGCTTGAACTGGCAGATGGTAGTGTTGTAAAAAAAGAAAAGGCCAGGCTCAACCAGCAGGTAAMGAAAGTTTTTGCCATTTGATTTTTATTTGTTGTTGCCTTTCTGAAAGAATGCTCTCAGCTCAATTCACAATAACTCTTCAGCTCATCAGAAAACCACAAATGTGTTCTACTGCAATTCTGGACAAGCTTTTCTCACAAAGAGGTCAGGAGCCAAAAGGACATAAGTGTTCTCAGGCCTTGAAATTACTCCTCCAGGCAAGAGGGAGGCAAGCTGGGGGATCTGTCTGTATTGCACTTATATTGGCAAGGAGGCTTTCATCTCCAAAGCTGATGATCCCACACAGAAACTTCCTGATTCCCATAGGTAACTCTCTGCAGCTTCAAAATGGCTCATAATTTTACTTCCTAGTTTTAGTTAAGATTGTTGGTAGGTTATAACTTCTGAAAAAACAGRAAACTGCACATTAGAGAGTGCTGTTTTAAGCCATGTTTTCAATTTAAATTAAATTCTATTGAAATTTTTTTTACCATACTATCTCTGATAAATAAAATACTACAAATGACAAAAAGAAGGGGAAGAGTCTTCCAGGAACTTAATATGCATTAAGCAATAGGTGATAAAAATACCAGAAGGTAACACATGGCAACTTCTAGTTTTATATAACTTATAAAGAGTCAGCTTTGATGACTGCCATTTTATTACTTTGCATGAAAGATTTTTTTTCCAGCTGTTACCCTAGCAAATTCTATGAACACGTGGAAGTACATGAAAAAAGGCAAAATTGTAAGAACACACATATATTCACTTGCATTTCTTAGTTACTCTCACTCCATCCACTTATCATTGAACTATTCATATGTAACTGCACTTAGTATACAGTAGCTTCCTAGCTCATAAAATATTGATTCAGGTTTTTTTATCGTATATCTTTCGTGAACTTTGATCTTTCATACTTAGTGCAGCCTTGATGAAATATTTAGAAGTACATTTTCCATGTGAAAGGTAAATTTAGAGGTTTTTTATGGTAGCCTCTGTTAATGCACTAGCTTCAACCCACATGAGACCCAAGCTGAACTCTATCTTGGTCACATTTAGTTGATCATTTCCTTTGCAAAAATCTTCCACCTCAAAGTAACTTTTTTTTTTTTTTTTCCCCAAGGTAAAGGTCTTTTTTTTTTAAATTTGGTTGGAGTTGTTTACAACACTTCCTCCACAGGTACATTGAAAGACCTTAAAAGAACTAACTTTCAACCAAGGAACTAAATTTAATGGTTACTTTCCAGATAAAAATGTATAACCTGTATAATAAAACAAGACTGCCAACTTAACAAAAAATCAAAAAAAACCACCCACAAAAACATCAAAAATCCCACTGAAAACATTCTACATATATTTATAGGCAGTGAATGTTACTGAGTAATTTTGTCAAAGCAAGCAAAGCTACTGCAATAACTTTTTCTCCAAGTTCCTCAATTCCTACACTTAACATAAGAAAAAAAAACATTATCTTCAGGTTGAGAACGATGAAATCTCAGTTCATAGCTTATTCAGCACACAGGATTGAATTCAGCACACAAAAACAAGCAAGGTCCCCCTAAAGCTCTTTCAAGGTCTGCAGCACTCACAAGGGTTCTGTCCACCACAGTTTCTCTGATCACTGTGTGTCTCTTGTCTCCACCTAGACAGTAAATTTCATGAAGCCTGTAAAAACCTCAATTAATTTTGAGAGCTTTATCTCCTTGTTGTATTTGTTTGAAAGCAATTTTAGCTGAAGGCTGCCAAGGTTCTTAGAAACTGAGAGGTAGGGTGGTGCACAGACAYACACCTGCACAGACCGAGAACAAATACCTCCTTCTGTTATAGCATAGCTGTGTAAATTAGGATATGRTACTAAAACCAGTGAAGCAGTATATATTTAAGAAACTGGACAATGAATAATAAGAGAATCCATCCTGTTCTCTACTGTTTTGTTTTGTATTTCCAAAGTATGACTTGGGCTTCTTCCCAAAAAGGTGGCACATCAACAAGCCAAAGGAAGTACATCTACACTAACACATGGGCAACAAACAGGAGAAGCTGAAAGACACTGCAGCTGGAAAACTATGATATARYTGAAATCATGAAAATTGTTATTTTTGCAGTTGGACTCRATGATCTTAACATTCTTTTCAAACCTAAGTAATTCTGTATTGCCTGTTTTGAATGTGCTGCACACAGCCCTTGATTAAGACAAGTTGTTTGGATAGACAGAAGTGAAGAAGCAGAGAAAMCAGTCAAGAGATTTTCTCACTAAATTTTAAGTTCACTAAGTTTTGTGTTGAAGAGATGCTACCATGGGAAGACATTTCTATAGAAATGTAATATGAAGAGTGGAGTCAGTGYTGTAACTGAGATGAAGAACCGGGATTTACTTTAACTTTTGAAATATTGTTCACTGCTTAACTCTCTTTCCAAGCTTTCGTTAGGGGTAGGGGAGCAATAAAGACTGTATCACCAAATACAAAATTTCACAGAAATAAAATGATGAAATTTTAAAAGACAGTCTTCAAATTAAAGTACATCTACCAGCCAACTAGCCATAAATTTAATTCGAAGTATTTTTATAGGTTGATGACATAAACTMATTTTTCACACAATGTAACATCTGTGTTTATTTTACTGAGACAGCTGGAATGTTAAAAGAACATTGAAATTTGTGTAATACAAACATTTTGGTAAGAGAAATGTCTTGGTATCTTAGACAAAACCTGAAGACATAATTTTTATATGCAATGTATATTCTGTATGTATTATGACTACAACAGACCTTTCTTTTAAAAAAAAAAACTCAAACCAATCAAGGTTTTTATTCTGTATTTTTGCCCTCTATCAAGTTTCCAATGTAAGAAAGTTTTGATGCAGAAAAAATACACAATAGAGAAGTGCAGAGAACTGTCTTACCTTCTGGCTCCCTGATCTTACGTCCTGCTGCAGATTTTCGTAGCACACTCCGCCCTGAGTTGAACAAGCTAGTTAACTCATCAAGGGGACTGGTCAATGACCTTGAGTTTGTAGGGCTGTATGGAAATGAAGATGAGGAATTKGAGTTCAATTTCCTGTGATCCGCTCTTGCCACCTTTGGAGAGTAAGGCAGTTTGGAGAATGGAGAAGGTGAGCCTCCAAGCTGAGCAGGATTGGGTCTCTGAGGTACTTTTGACGGATCTGAGTTCGCACCTGTTTTCCCTGCATTAATCAGAAAACTAGCACAAGTCTCCGGAGGAGATGCGAAATGTGTGGAAGCCCGGTAGGAAGCAGGAGGTGGCACGGGAGGAGGGGGTGGTGGCACAGGAGGAGGTGGCGTGGAAGGAGGAGTCACTTTGGTGGAAACRTTGAACACAATCAAGCCTGGAGATACTGGTCTTTCGTTCTCTCCTTTCTGGCCTTTGGAGTACTGGGGTGATAATGGACTTGAGCCTTCTGACTGCACAGGATATTTCAGGTTGGTTTCCAAAACAGGAAGCTTTTTGACCTCTAGTGGTGTTAAAGGTGATTCATCAGAAGCAGGTGAACACGTGACAGGGGTTGGAGGGAATACAAGAAGCGGTGGTCTGTGGGGGAGCAGGTTAGGGAAAGGGGCTGGAATGTCGCATGAGTCTTTGTAGATCAAAGCTGCTTGAGTGTTTCCATCCAATGTTCCATCTTCAATGTTAACATTTTTTTTGCTTTCAAAYAACAGAGGAGGAGATCCAGTCACTACTGGAATTATTCCATTACCATTGCCTCCTTCTTCTGGTAGAAAATACTTCATTTCTTCATACACAGACTCTCCCTGCTCTGGACTCTCCGCTTCAGCAGAACTGCTTTTCATTGCATTCCCCACCATTTCAATATAGACAGGCTCATTTTCCTCCTCTTCTTGTGACATAAAGAGATTCAACACGCCRTGTTGTGGTCCATCAGTAGAAGCTGTTCTCTGTACACTCACAGTGTCATAGACACCTGGTTTAACTACTGTGCTTGTTTTTTTGACATCCCTAGGCTTTTGGCCAGGTATTTCTTCATAAGAGCCACTAAGTTTTGTATTAGGGCTTCGTTTTGGTTTTCTGGGAGGTATTTTTTTCATGGTACTGTAGTCGTCACTATGTGGCCTTGGACGGGTCAGTACTAGGAAAGTGAAAAAGATCTGTGTTATTAACAAGTTAAAGTAATTTTTTTCTTAAATTGGTCTAGTACTCTGAGCCTCAAACGTTATCCATTTAGTTTGACAATGAGCAGCAGTCACAAACACAGGAATCCAAGCAAAAGAATAAATACATATAGGAATAAAATGCAGAATTTTCAGCTACCAAACCACAGGCCTTCGCTACCTTGGCATATAATCTGCTTTGGTAACCTCTACTGCCACTAAAAGATGAGAACTCACACCTGAGGAGGTACAGTTTGAATCCAAATGTGCACTGCAAAATCTGTAACACATGGAAATATGTGTTTGTTTCTCCTTTTGCTCCAAGGGAGAAGGGCGAGATTTTAACTAGGAGTCTGAGCACAGTGCTGCTTTGACACAAACGTGATTGCCAGTAGCTGAAATATCCCTCTTTTTGTAATATCTATACAACTCTAATATAGGATGATATTATGCCCCTCTCTTCTTTTGTACTGCAGGTGTGGAAATAATTTATAACTTTAGGGAATCCCATAGCCTAAGGGCAAATCCCCAACTGAGTATACATTTAACTAAACTAGATGTCTCTTCATAGCCTCCAGGCATGTATAGAGTGAAGAGACTAGATACCTAGATGATTGGTCTTTTAAGATCGAAATTAGATGGTATAAATCAGAGCTGGTTTTGGACGAAGACTCAGGAAACTGAGTTAATTCTTGGAAAATGAGTATAAGGCAGAGAAACTTGCCATATTGTTTCACACATACAAGAACTCCAAAACTGTTTTGTGAGTCCATGTAAGCATTATTATTTGACCATACATACATATATATATTGTTGCTCTTTCCAAACACCTCTGCTAGAACCTTTTTGGTTAAATCACTAATGTCTTGCAGATTTGGGCACAGAAAGATAAAACCACTAGAGACCTCCTTAAACCATACTATTTTAAAAGTATAGAACATAATTCATATCTCCTCACATAGATCTTGAATGAGCAAGGAAGAGGTTAAGAAAAATGGACTCTCACCTATTGAACTGGACATGAGAACAGTAATTATTTTGACAGAGGCAGCTGCAAGGATTTCTATCCATTGTATGCAGGACTGGGGAATRGTTATACAGTTTTAAACCCAATCTGAAGGATCTTCCTTGGCAAAYGTAGAGGATCCTTCACACAAAGCATGACAAGTCAGGCTTATCAAGGAAAGCAAATGCATTCCTTTCCTTCATCTTCTCATTCATTTTAAGGAGAGTAGAACAAGTGAACTCAAAACCATGCTATGTGCACTGTAATGYACTGAGAAACTTCGGGACTTTTGCAGGACTTTCCTTTTARACAAAATAAAAATCACCATAATCAAATTATGGCAAAAAAAMCCCCAACAAATAAACACTGAATGTATAAGTTATTCATGTGAGCATAAAGGAAAAGTATGAAAAGGTATATTGTTTAAGTCAGTGAAATTCAAGATTTGAGCATTCTGTTTTAGTGATGCAAGATATTCTAACAGTTTAAAAGGTAAAATWAAATGATCAGTGGGGTAAAATAGCTCATGTTGACAGATTATTTGTTTCTAGAGGGAGTTCTACAAATAGGCATCTGTTGTTGACAAACCAAGCACTTAAAACACATGAGTATTATCTGCTGATTTGGGAACAAATGACAAATTGGCTGATTYTATTTACTGCCACTGAAATATTTCAAGGAAGCAGGACCTCTCAAAGGCATTTGACCGTGTTTAAAAGGATCAAAGTGAAAAGAACAAATCAATAACTCAGAGTAACATTTGCGACTGTCTCTGCCTTTCTGCCTAACCTTCATTAGCGGTTTCCTTAGAAGCTGCCGACAAGCAGGCACTAACAGCCTCGTAGGAGGCGCTCAGTCGTGTGTTGGGGTCCCTCTTTGGTTTGGGAGGAGGCTGTTTCCTTGGTGATGGCAGGCTATTGCTGTCGTCCATGCTGAAAACGGAGTGCAGGGAGGGGGATCTGATGGATGACCCAGCCRCAGAGTGCACCAAGCCCTCCACTGCCATGGGGACGGGCACGGAGCTGGAGTGAAAGTGCTTCGACGTCCGACAGCCGGCAAAGCTGTCCTCAGAGACCTTCCCAGCCTTGTCTTCGGSTCTGGAAACACAGAAAGGAGGCCCACATGCATTATTCAAGCAATAACAATGAACCTGTTCATGCAAACGTAACAACAGCTTTTTGGTAAACAATCTCACAACTCCCCTGCTGTGTCGAGGGGATGTGTATAGTAATCTTCTGACAAACAAATCCAGATCAAGCTGCTAGCTTTCTTCCATTTCCTGTTTCATGATAAATCAGGACACCGGCCCTTTTTCACACAAATGCAGCCTTGCTTAAGCAGTCTCATATTGTTGATCAGACATTCACTGAATGAATTGTTCACACTTTGATTGCTACACACAATCAAAAGCTGGGTTTTCAATCTGAATGATAATTTCTGGGAAATCCATTTTAATAGAAAGTTACTGAGGCAGCAAATGCTGAGCCTTTATCATTATTTTCTAAAAAGACAACTATAAATTCTATTTAGATAATGCAAATCTTTAAAATACTAGATGACCTTTTTGACCAACTACATTGCCTGCTTGAGCAATTCTACCCGGGTATCTATATATCTTCCAGTTTAAACTTAAATTATTAGTTTCTAATTTTAATAATAGTTTTTATTATTGTTATGTTTAGTTGTTTCAATTACAATTTGGGAATTTTAGTTTTTCAATTTCCCCCCTTTTTTTTTCAATTCAAATACATATTGAGAAATAATCTTCCAGCTGCTCCAACCAACAAATTGATTTTTAGTAAAAATTCTTCTAACATTTTATTCCTCCAAGAATCAAAACATTGAGACCTTTTTCACTTAAAAGTAATGTATCAGATAGAAGATGTCTGTACAGCTATTTACAAACAAATCCCCAAGCATTTGTCTTCTTAAATTGTATTTCTGCATGGCAAATCACYAACAGAGCAGAAATTCATGCACAGGATACAGCCAGCTGCCCATGTAGTAAATGAAATAGCAAAGGATGAAAGCATGGTGCTCAGTGGATAATTTGTTTTCACTGTAATGTTTAATTACAGTCTTTCCTACAAAGGCATTTCCTCCAATATGTAATCACTGGGATATTTGAAGCTAATTAAGCAGATGCACTGCCATTTTCACTTTAATAAAAGTCACTGACAAAAGCAATGATAGCAAAGGGAGTTGTTCTGGATGAAAATTAAGTTCCTATGGAAAAATAAACATTTGTATGTCCAGCAAGTTATATACACATTCTTTCTATTGACACATACCGATTAACTGCAAACGCKAACTCTGTTTGTTAGACAGCATTCAGCTGTCTGAGAGAGAAATCAGGGACTCAGTTCCTAGAGAATGACTCTCCAGCATTTACTGGATTTGTAAAATAGGTACTCCTGAAAACTCTGATGTGAGTTAAACAAAAAACATTTGCCCATTTTGAAATAAAAAGATCCTCCTCACAATCAGCCTGCTTGGTTCAGTAGGAAATCAGGACATCTTAGTCTGGAYTTTACTGTATTTTAACATATTCCTAGTTGTTTTTCATTATCTTGGCAATTTCTCAGTGTTTGTATTTTAAGTTAGAGGAATTTTTCTTTGGCTTGTTTTGTCTGATGAAAGTTAAACTGTAATCTATTTATCACAGAATGAGAAGTATTTCTGTAAAAAAATAAGTGTCTCACAGACTTGAATAAGTTCCTTTATGCTTAGTRTCTCCTGAATGGGATATGCTATTTCCTTAAGTTTCCATAATTAATTACCTGGTATACAGGGAAAAAAATATGACCTAATATTGATTAGGGATGAGCATATACTTGAGAASTCTCTTGAAACACCTCAGTTATTTTTATGGTTTTCTAGGAAGAGAAGGAATTCCAAAAAACTGGAGAGACTCATTAATTTTGCACTTCCCACCTTACCTTTTGTGGCCTTCCTCTGGTCTGTTTCTAGCCTCTACCTTTTCCCTGTGGTAAGCAGAATTCATCTCGTTGCGGAGCCGGTCGTTTTCCCGGGCAATGTCAGAAGCATTTTGAATAACCAAAGCATCGTAKGTTTTCAGCCCCATGTCCTCAGCGTTCTGCAAGAAGCTTTTGATTGAGGTGACCTCTTGCTGTTTGATGCTCATCTTCTGGAGCAAGCGCTGRCGAGCTAGAAATCCTCTTACAACTACCATAGCAGAAGGAGAAAACATGGACCAATGAAAGACAGCTAATTGGGGAATTAAATTAATATCACTGTGTGCTCCGTTGTAAATATAAGCAAGCCAAGTTCAGTCAATGTCTTATACAGATTAGCAAAGAATTCTGATGGCATATAAATAACATAGTAAAATGGAACTCTTTCCCTTTTCCACTGCCAGTGCTTAAAACAAAGTAGTGACAGTAAATTCATACATTTGAGCTATCAGAATTCAAAATGTTTACTTTCACTGAACGTTATTTTTTATTACATTGCAACKGAAACGGAGATGCATACCACAGATTGTGAAAGCATACATTTACACTGCAAAGGTCAAAAGATAGTTTGTTTCAAAATAAAAGCCTGGATTTTATTAATTGCATTGAATACAGAAGGAATTAAATTATTGCTGTTGGTCAGCTTTAAAAAATGCTTTAATTGTTTCAATGTACCYAATACCCTATCAAAATCAAAACCAACCCAAGATTTTTTTTTTGTTTGACTTAAAGACCTTTCACTGCTCATTTCCTTTCAGGTAAAACAATTAGATTAATTTAATGCAAATTTCTCAAGTGTATCTGTCACATCATGTCTGCATTTTTTAGTTAGAAGTTTTCATCTACATTGCATCAGCCTTATTGTTCTGCACACTCTGTCAGCTTTATGCTGAGAAAAGATTTCAGTGCATCTCCTATAATAATTTTCCTATGTAGGTACATTCACTACAACAAATCCTAGCAAAATATCACCCACTACCCTGGCTATTCCAAGTACACAGTTGATCAGAAACACAAGGCACAGGAACCTCTGTGGCCATGTAAACTGGACACCATTTTAATCCCTGTGCCTGCAACAGGTGATATTAGTGTTCTTTGAACCCATGCTTTGCCTTAGATGGAAAAAGTATGCTATGTTAAAGTTCTGTATTTGTGTGGGTGGTTCTTTTTTAGTTTTTTTTCAAGTACCATAAGATCATGTTCCTTTCCAGATCTAGAGCCACTGCTGTGTTCAGGAAAGAACATGGAAGATCCTGTTATTTACCTGTTGCCTGAAATACTGTTGGTTTTCAGTAAATCACTTTACATGTATCAAAACCAGACCAAACTTCAACATTGCTTATGGTTACTTTCATTKTGATCAATTGAAATTTTTTCATAAGTGAAGTCAGAAGACTTAAGATGTTTGTTTGAAATTGGGAGAAGATACCAAAAATGGCAAGATTACAAGATAAAGATGTTAAAATGCATTCGGTATTTAGAACAACATAATTAAGTTTCAGATTTAGGATCACTGCAGAAAAACATTCAATGATGAAGTGTCAAGCTGAAATAATCTGAAGTAAAAAATGTCATCAGAGAAAGATACAATTGGTCTTCTATGAATATAAAATGTTGTTGAATAAAATAAACAGCTAACTATAAGGCAATGTAAGGTACTTTCTATCACCTTCTAGTGCCTTGTTTAGATACTAAAAATAAGATTTCTTTTTTAGAGATGCTCTATGCCCAGCTGACAAGATACAAGAAAGGCTAACATTAACATMCTAAAACTGCTTCTACCCAAAATTCACTGGGTTTGAAAACCTTCAAGTTTAGGTACATTGAAATAATTTCTACTAACAATTTATGATACACAGCTTTGAAGGTTTATACTTGTATAATTACAACCAATCAATGCTTTTAGGTACMTTTCATAAAATCTGACTTCTTTAAACCCTGAAACATTAAGGCACTTACCCAATTTACTTGAAAAAGTAATTAATAGTACAGTTATTRTTGACAATTTTATGAGAGTATTCGTAATGGATATAGATGTTACTGAGCCTGAATCCAAGAGTTACTGTTGCAAAAGAATACATGCATAGAACATTATCAGAGTTCACTGCTCACAAATATGAAAATTTCAAAAGWGCTCAATAATAAAAATTGCTTTTTTTTCTAAAATATTCTCTTTAAGCCTCTCTTCTGCAGAGCAGAAAATTTATAATTAAGCATCAAATCTTGGGTGACTTTGGAAAAAAAAAAAAATCTGTATTTCAAAGTAACATTTTCAGAAGTCAGTGTGTATGTGCATGCATTTAACTTGACCAAAACCAGATTGGTTGCACCACCAAGGTTGGTTAAAACAAAGAAATTCAGAGATCAGTCCTCTGATAGGAATGTTAGCAGGCACGAATGAGAAGCTCAGAGTAGCCTGCTGCAATGGTCCAGTAAACTGAGSTCCAGTAGAGCTAGTTGTAACATTTAGAGACTGTACAGCTACTCTGACTTTTGCACTTTCATCAAAATCAAGGAGAAACATTCAATAAAACTTTATTAGGAAGGGTTGGCAGATAGACATCCCTCTTTTGCACACACTTTCACAACCTGAGCAGTTCAGGTTTTTCATAAAATGACAGACATTTCTCCACACTGCCTTCTCTATGAGAACATCTGAAAGATTTTGATTTTGGCTCAACACAGAACAATTTTACAACCTAAAAAACTGCTGTGAAATGAAATTGTCAGCTCCTTGATCTTTACTGTTCAGTTTCATATACTACTGTGTGGATGCTGGGTACTATGATTGCCTTGTGAATTTGCTCCTCATTTATGTAGATCTAAAATAATTCTCATTTATGCAAATTAAAATAATTGAGGTTAGCACCACAGGGCAGAAACATGTCTACTTTTTTAGAGTTCATCTGAGGATAAGGATTAGAATAATCAGAATTGCAGTAGACCATGGATCCAGGCTATGTGACAAATGCATTAACTATTGTGTATACAATGTACTCAGATTAATTCCTCATCTACATGAACTCTGATGCAAGAACTTCAGTGTGACTGCCCTTCCTACAGGTACAAAGAATTTTCACAGCGATTCAGGGCAAAAAGTACCATGTGTAATTCTCATACCTGTGAAAAAATATGACTAAGTCTCTAAACTCAGAGATCCATTTTTAAGTAAAAGTGTTTCTACACATGCTTTCACTTTAGTTTGACCCCTTTCTTTGCTTGTGTAAGATAAATTTCAGGATACCAGAAAGGACTTATCTGGTTTGGTTTTTTTTTCCCCAAATTTAGTGGAAGGGATTGCTAGTTAGACTGAAATATAAAGAGTTAATAGTAATTTTGGGCAAGACCTATTTCCCCTTAAAGTTAAGCCCTTATCTAGGTATATGATAGGTACATTTGAAGCCTGATACAGAAATTAGAACGATGAATTCTGAATTAGAAGGGACCCAAAAGGATCATCAAAGTCCAACTCCACACCTCAAGAGKCACACCATGTCCCTGAGAGCATYGTCCAAATGCTTCTTGAACTCTGTCAGTCTGTGACACCGGGGAGCAGTGCCCACCCACCCTYAAGGTTTCACAACAATCCCTTGGGTCCTCTCACTCTTCACCAGTGAGAAGAGGTGAGTGTCTTCCCCTCCCACTCCCTTCATGAGAAAGTTGTAGGCTGGTGTGAGGTCCTTCCTCAGTCTTCTCCAGATYGAACAGACCAAGYGACCTCAGCCACTTCTTTTACAGGTCCCCTCAAAGCCCTTCACCATCTTCATAGCCCTCCTTTGGATGTTTTCCAAATAACTTCATGTCTTTCTTATACTATGATTATTATTTGACTATTGTTCAATATGTTTTCAGGAGAGATCTAGATTCCCAAGTCCTCTGGATGTAAAGGGCGAGGGGATAAAAGTGCGGATGTGCATCAGGAGTGACRCCATTAGTCAAAAAGCATCACCATGGCAGTGTAATTTTTATGGATCCCAGTTTTRGGATTACCTAAGAACAATCCACTGCTACCCTATTTTGTTCCAAATCTTCCAGAGCTCTTGGCATGCTAATTCTGCAAGTTTACAATTGCACCTGTTTGMAAAAGGCAGCTTCTTTCCTGAGCTAATGCCATGAGGTTGATGTCTAATTACTGCTTACTCATCCAAGTGCCTGATTTTCTCAGGTTTCACAGATCATAAAAGCATGCAGATGAGCCATAGCTTAAAACACACACTTCTGGTGAAAATGACTTTTCAAGTTACCCTAATTATGGAGGCTAGAAGAAAAACCAAGAAAAATATTTTGTAAGGAGCCAAGAAGACCTATTATCTTCATTCTTCAGGCAGGGTTTGGAAATCTTTTCTCTTACTTCTGTGAAACATGGACATATCTGAGGATGCTTTAAATTTTGGTGTAGGGTTGTATTTGAAGCATTCTGTTTGCAAATTGGATTCTAAAAAATAAATGTTATCTTTCTTTGATAAGTCAGCGTAAGAAGGGAAAGAGGATAAACCATTATTGCTTTTCAAAATGCATAAAAACAATTGGGTAATTTGCATTAAARGTTATAAACTCAGCTGAACTGTGGTGTCTGTTACCTGTCATTCTCCATATACATTCCTGAACTGTTACTTTTTGGATTTCACTTGCTTCAGGTTTTCTCTTGGTTTCCTCTTTTTTCATTACATGCTTACAGTGAGGAACAGATAATTAAAATGAAAGGGATTTATATTTCTTAAGTCTGCAATATTATGTGTCTGACAAAAAAACCCTCACAAGATAAGACACTGTCTTTTTAATTTCCTTTAAATAGGTGAAAATGGGAATTGTTGCAGACATCAGCCAATTAGATAAATAATGAATGGTGTGAAAGAAGCTTCTTCAAACCAAGTAATATTCACATTTTCAGCAGTTATTTGAGATTTTGATAGGAAATGGAGCATAAGTAAGAGGAAATCAGGGGCAGTGGATAGTGCCTCCTTTTAAAAATGTGCCAAAAAATGTCAGTGTGACCTTAGTAAAAATGCAGGCATAAAAGGGGGAGAAATGCCTAAACATAAAAATGTAGCAGTCAAATCTAAAAGCTGTAAGAAAAGGGGTAAAGTAAGGACYACTAAACATACTAAATTATTAGCTTTGTATTTACTGTCGATATATTTGAAAATATTCCAATTTTAATCACTGTTACAATATTTGATTTGCAATAAGAAATTAAAGGTGATATTAATGCCTTGAAAAACCACGGAAAATACTTTAAAAACAAAATATTTAAGATTCTCTAAGTTTTAATTACATTCACTAGTTTGTCATAAAATCATGTTTGACAGAAAGGAAGTGCAAGAATCACCAATGCTAACATAATCTCAAAAAATCTGTATATATCTGAGGGAAAATGTATAAAATACAGCAACTATTCAAGGTGGAAAAAAATGTCTGCTATACAATATTCTGCTCAGTGTACACAGTAACAGCTCAGGAATACTTGTTCTGTAATTGTTACCTTTTTGGCAGGTTATAATTTTCTTCTGAAGCTGAAGGCACAAATCATTGAGATGGTCAGCTTGCCAGTACTTTAAAAACACTTTTCGGACTCCTATCTGGAATACAAACAGCAGAGAAATCATCWACAAAAAAGGCCAAAACAATGACAGGTAAACAGTGATAGCACGTTAACAATCCAGCAAAGGGCTGAAATAAGATCTGCAATTTAAGAACAGTACAATGCCAATTCTTGAACAAAAATGCAGTTGTCAYTTGGTTGAATAAAAGATGTATTTGTAAAGGATGAACAAGCTGTCAGACAGATAGTTCCACTTCAGTTCCAAAAMCATCCAGAACAAACAGTACAATCTTCAAGTTAAATACAAGTTGGGGGAAAAAAAAGCATTCTGAATCTAATCACTCTTAATGTGTTAGACCACATAATAGAAAAGAAGGTTTAGCTCTTGTAAAGCAGAGGGGTGTGTGCATGGAGAAAGGTGACAAGATAAACCCATGTGGAACAGAAAATGGTGAAACAGCTGCCACCTGTGGAACAGGAAGAACTTAACTGAAGGTGGAGGATGGGAGAAACTCACTGTCACTAGTGACAATGATTCCTAATACCYAGTAAAATTATGAATCCTAGTTCCCAGCCTTGCTTGCTGAAGCTGTGCTGTGGATCTCCTTTCAGAATCAAGGCTAAACAATGAGAGACAGAGGAATTCATTTGCGAAAAATAATCTCCTAAGTATTGATTCTGCTGTTGTGTAACAGCTTGGTATAATTCATCTAGTTCTTGAAATCATTAGGTGCTCTTRCTCCTTTAGAGACAAACTTAGCTAGCTAGACCAAAAGAAAACACCTTTTCTTTTGATACCTTCAGAACAAGCTGAAACAGTTCTTTAAAATTCTTTTCTGTATCATCTTCAAAAGCATTCCTTTCTAATAGACTTAAAAAACCACATAAAACCTAGCAACTCTAAAAACTTCAAGTAACTGAAAAAAAAAGGTTTACAATATTTTTTTTTTCCTCAGGAATTTTGTGGAAGAAACTTTCCTTCACTTCATAGAAATAAAAGGAACAGTGTCAGAAAACTATGCAACCAAATGAAGATTCAAGCATCTGCATAACTATAAATTTTTTATGGCTAATAGGCATACTGATTAATTAATACAAGTCTGTCTGAAATTGCAGAAATTCATTCCAACTCTTGTCTCCAGCTTACAACTTACTCATTCTCTTCTCATTGGACCATCCTGTTCCACTGATATTTTTKAGTTTAGATCTGGGAGACAGGTATCAGAAGGGTTATTTGCACACCCTTCCAAATAATTGTTTTTTCAATCCAAACACTGTCAGATGTAAATCCTGGTAATGTTGGACAACAGAAAGCCGGAACATGTATTTCATGGCTMAACTCCATTAACTAAATCCAGATATGATTGTGGCAGATTTTTGTCCCTTGGCTTCCCTCGTCTCTACTCAAGATAATAATTATTTTGAATCAAACGTTTTAGAAAGTCTGTAATACTGAAGTTTGAGCTAACAAGGATGGTGCAATTGTTAGCTTTTTGGTCAAAATCAGATGCACTCAAATGGAAAACTGGAATGCTTTGTAATGTCTTTTTCCTGTCAGTATCTCTTTTTCCAATGAAACTGTCCCTTTTGGATTATAGCAAAGTGTGTGAAACTAAGGTGATAAAAAAGACGTTTTACTTGTCTTGCAGAAACKCAGAAACATTGTAGAAACTCAGAATCAGGCAACAGGCTTTCTTTGCAGGGTGGTTAATAAAAGGCAATCTCACCCCGATCCAACTGTGGATTCACACTCTGCTCTTAAGGACATACTCTCAGTTTTCTTGACTGATGACTTCCAACAAAATTTTTCACTTTTCTTCCTGAGCTTTTAAAATTCCCCATTCGCCTGGTTATCTTAACACTCTGACTTCCTCTTTCATTCACATGTTGTGGGATCTACACCTGTTTCTTCCCCAGGGATTACTGAATGTCCCTAGGAATCTTTGCCTTTATCCCCTTTTTTAATAAAAAACCCTAAGAAACAGAATTCAACCACTTTCTTCTTTGGTTTAAATYTGCTTCTCTTTTAGATATCTAATCTTGTATCAAGAATAAGCAAACTTTACACGTTTCCCTAGCAAACTGTATCAATTTTCTCCTGTCTTCCTGTGAAATATTCTACTTCTGTACCTTCATATTTCTTCCAGGATACTTAGCCATTACCTTTACTTTTCCCAACACATTTACCCTGTCACTAAACTCTGGGAATTATGGAATAACTGCTAATCAAACAGTTTTTCTCCCATCCATCTTGTCAAACCACATACTGAACTTGCCTTATTTCTAGTTTTGGTTACTAATATCTTCATCTTCTTGCTTACATTGCCTTAAATACAGAATTGTTCCATAAAAAAAACACAAAAAACCCAAAAAAACCCACAACTTAATTATTATTCATATGGTTAACTGTAATTAAATTATCATGGGGTTATTATAATTACCATTTCATCTGAGCAGCTCTCAGACAAAGCCTAAACACAAATACTTAATAAAATTACATTCCTCCACTCTGATTACATTTTTTCTTTATACTCCACCCTTCCTTTCCACAAACCCTATACATCACACTGGACTCCTTTTTTCCCCCGTCTCAGGCCTATGCTGAAACACCCCCTTTTCCCCCATTTCTGCCCTTTATCCTTTATAACTCTGGTTTCTCCTCTTACTACAGCAATATTACTCTGACAGTAGAAAGGAGGATTAAATGTTGCCTTTTCAAACCTTAAGAAATCCCTTATTACTAGCAGTTCCCACAGCAAAATTAACAACCCCAGTCTCAATTAGTCTCATTATTGACATACTGGTCAGTCACATTTAGGCTGTATTTCAAACGTGTAAGTTAACACTGAGCTGCAATTTATTGTGCAGTGTGCAGGCACAAAATCACAGCCAAGACAATTGCTGAAGCTTGTGTTGAGCTACAAGTGCSTGGCCTTGCACAGTCACAAAGCTGTCCAGGGGACATGCAAAGCCTTGTGCTCTTTTCCTTTATCCTACACCCTGGGAACAATACAAATGGAGCTATTGTGGCATCACTTATGCTATGAACTTCATTAGTAGGACCCTGCTACAATTTTTTAGTGAATGAAGAAATACAAAATGTCAATACAAATCCATTTKAACATTCAGATAAAAGCTATTTATAGATTTTTACATCATATGCCAGGTCTACAGAGAGCAGAGCTCTAGACAGAAGCACGTATAGCAGAAACTGCTATTACACATTTGATTATGTTAGTACAGATAGAAATCTCTGTAGCTTAGTCTTTGAASTAAATCTGAAAGCCTCTAAGGCTGACCAAGAAAACAAGCTAGTCTCACTGCCCTCTATACAGTTCTGGTGTTCAGTGAAAAACGTAACACAGACAAACGTTAGAATTTCACATGTCACATATCAAAATAGTTTTTGAGGCTGCCACCTGTCTTTATTCTGGTCTCTTCTCTAATCACAAAATGTTTCCTGCTTGCCCAGGGGAAAAAAGGTTCAAATGCTCTTCCACTAAAGCACTCACTTTTCAATATTTTTTTCTGGACTACAAAGTGCTCTCATCTCAGTCTGAAATTTTAATGTCATTCAGACTCCTGTAAAAGTAAGCCATCTGTGAATTACAGTCATAGTTATTTTAATTAGGAAAGCATTAGGGTTTAAAATGTTATTTTTCAAAATGACACATTTTTTAAAGACTAAGTAAAATTGTCATTGATGACTACTAAAGCTTCAATTGCTGCTACAGGCCTCCTTTTCATTTTTTTTTCCTGGAAGGAAGGAGAAAGAATGGGAGGGAACTGTTCCTTCTCTTTCTTCCCTTTTTTTTTTTTTTAAATTTTAAAGAAAAGGTGTAGGATGTAGAAGTACAGACATTCAAAACTATGGAATGGATGCTGAGATGGTGTGTAGGTGGCATGGAGGCAGTATTAGCTCATACTTAATAGGTGTCAAGGGAATCTGTAAAGCTGTTCTTTAGTTTAAAAAAGGCACTTTGTGGGAGTGCTGTGTGTTTCTGGCAGTACTTTCAAAATAGCTACCTACAAAAGACAGAGAACTATAATCTAATGATATTTTACACAATGACACACATTTTCACRGAGCATTAATGAAATTTAGAAAAAAGCCTTAATACTATTGTAAAATGTGTCYTCTTGCAGTCTATATGTCTATAAAATATATTATAATGACAAATAGATTTACAGGGCACTAATTTTTACGGACTGAAATTTTATTTTTAAAATAARATTGTTATGTTTTACACATTTTATAAGTCTTTGTCTCTGCAAACCAGTGACATTGCACTATGGTACATACTGAATAAACCTACATTTTAGTGTAGTTTATATATGGCCTTAATATAAAAGATGTGAGTAGTCTAGTATTCAAGCAAGTGACATCAAGCATTTATATAAGTTCTTGTCAAGAGCTCGACTTTAGGGAGAAAAACTGTCATTCCATTTCTCCAGAAAAGGGCAGAGCAATGGTCACTGCTTTTCCACAAACTGTAAAAACCTCACAGCTCTTTCATTCTTGTGAGGCAACATGAAGAATTGCCTTACAGRAAAGGAAAGGAASAGATCAGGAAATATAAGATGAATGTAACACTCAGGAGGGGAAACCCTACCCCAGTTTTATCTCATGAGATCTTGCTATTTACTGGACCTATTATACTTTTCTAAATTCTAGAAAAAGACACAGCAGCAAAATGTGGTGGCACATCCTCCKCCCCACCTCCTCCAGGATCTCATTCCTAACCTGAGCCAAACCACTCATTCACTACAGAAGAAACAGACAAAAAGTTCTCCTGGCAAGAACTGAGAAATACAGGCAACAGGTGACAGGGAGAGTAACGRCACTAAGGCAGGAAACTGGAAAATTAATAAGGAAAATTAGTAACTAATTTGTCACAGACAAATACAGGATGAAGACTGGGACCAAATATGAAACAAAGAAAAGTGTAAGTGGCAAAAGGTGGAAGAGATGGCAGAAGAGAGAGGAAGAGGGAGACATGGAATCCAGATCTGAGAGCAAAAAAGATAGCAAGACTG